TTTTAAATAATACAATTTTTTTTCAAGTATCTGATCCCACATATTTATCAGATCGTGCTCAAATATCTGTCTATATTCAGTGCAATAAGCTAAATAGTGAAGTTACTTCTAGCTCAAGAGCTTTACAGTTGAAATTTCTGAAATGCTCGTATAAATGGGAAAATATTTCAGAAACTAAATTATTAGATGCTATGTGTGATCCTAAATTATTAGAACAAATTTTATCTTATGAAAATACAAATTATGAACAAAATGCAGAAGGTATAGATAAAGCTACAGAAGCACTGAATTCAATTTTACAAGATTTAGCAATGAAATCTTGTAAAATCATCAATTGTAAGAAAAAAAGGCTAAGAAAAAAAAAACAAAACCATGGCTTGACACTCAGCTTAAAGATTTGAAAAAAAACTGTGATAATGTTAGGAACTAAGATGAAAAATGAACCTTTTAATTCAAAAATTAGGCATGATTATTTTACTCACTGTAAAAAATGAAAAAAATGGTAAAACAAAAAAAAGTATTTATTCCAGAAAGAATTATATGATAAATTATTGAATTTGAAAGAAACAAACCCCAAACAATACTGGGAAGTGCTTAATTCTCTCAAAGGAAATAAAAGCTCAAATAATACAGCAGACATATTAGTTAACATCAATAAAGTTATAAACCATTGTAAGACTCAAGGTATATGTTAAAAAAAAATAAAGAGTTTCAGAAAAGGATTGAAGATCATATAACTCAGTATAAAACTTTTTTAGAAGAAAACCTAATTACTGACCAACCATTTACCATCACTGAAGTTAAGAACTTAATTCATAAGCTTAAAATCAATAAATCTGCAGGACCAGATCTTATTCCAAATGAAATATTAAAACATAGCTCAGTGGTTACTTGTAAATCTATAGTTAAACTATTTAACTTAATATTGCATACTGGAGAATACCCATCGGCATGGAGAAAATCATTTATTGTTCTAATCTATAAATCTGGAGATAAGATTGACCTAAATAATTATAGAGGTATCTCACTTCAGAACTGCATAGCAAAACTTTTTAGTGCTACACTTAATAAAAGATTAATGCTACATTATGATAAATTATTCTCAAAACAACAATTTAGCTTTAGAACAGTCAGGCGTTTTGTTCTTAAAACTTTAATAACAAAATATATTGTTCGAAATAAAACAAAAATATATACATGCTTTGTAGATCTGCGCAAAGCATTTGACACTGTTTGGCAAAATGGCCTTTTATACAAATTAATGAACAATCAAATTGGTCAAAAATTTTTAAAGTTATTCAAAGTATGTACAGATCATGTGAATCAGCTGTTAAATTCGAAAACACTCATTCCAATTATTTTAAACTTGATAGAGGGGTAAAACAAGGGGATAGTCTAAGTCCAACATTATTCAACTGTTTTATTAATGATCTACATGACACACACATTTGATCAGTCATGTGATCCACTTATTCTCAAACACACACACGTATCTAGGTTAAGCTTTGCAGATGACCTTGTTCTGCTCTCAGAGTCCCATATTGGTTTACAGAATACACTGAACAAATTGCAGAATTATTGCTTAAATTGGCAACTAACTGTTAATACTACAAAAACAAAAGTTTTAACTTTTCAAAAAATATATAAGCCAACTCCTGTTTTTTTTTATTATGATAATCACCCTCTTGAAGAAGTAAAAGAATATAATTTCCTTGGAACAATAATTGATCACAAAGGTAGTTTAAACAAAGGAGTATTAGAGCTGTCTAAGAAAGGTTTAAAAGTAATATTCTCCCTAAGAAAAATCTTCTCCAATTTCACACAATTACCTGTGAATTTGTCTTGTAAATTATTTGACACTCTTATTCGCCCTATTTTATGCTTTAATAGTGAAATCTGGTTTATGGATGCATGATTATCTTCCTTCATACAGAGCAATACTTAGAGCAATGAAAAATGACAACTCATGTGATAATCTCGCTTTACAAGAAAAAAGTACATGCTAGATATTGTAAAACAGTTCTAGGACTCAACAAAACAGCATGCAACATTTCATCATTGTGTTAACTAGGTAGACTTCAGTGGCAGATTCAGGGGGGTTGGGGGGGGGGTTCCCCCCCCCCCCTCCCGCCCGATCAAAAAAAAAAAAATTACAAGTGTCATTTTAACAATATATTGCATAAATGCTACTCTATCCAAGCCCATTGTTGTACACAAAGAGGTGAAATATACAGCCACCATGCGAAATCCCTTTCCGCTTGAGCGCACACAATACACAGGGGTAATCAACAGTACAGAGATCATGATAGTCCGTGCAGCTAGTGAAGACACAAGGTCATACACAACAACCAAAACTGCACATAGTTATTACGGTTTTGTTTTGGTATTGCTGAAGTAATATTGTTTTGAGAATTTTCTTCTTTCTTCGATAATTGAATGTTACTTTATTGAACTACGTGAATAAACTGTGATTATTATTTAGAAAAAAAATTAATTAATACATCAGGGACGTATACTGTCTAGTTGTTTACGTTGTGACATGTACCAAAAAGCACATTGAAAGTATTCCTTTTGTAGATGGAAGTTACAATGCAATTTTAAAAAGCAAAAGATCTGCATTTTTTTTAATTACAGTTGAATGATGTTGAATAAAACCCAACTAACGGTTACAACTTTGTATAATGAATTGTGGTAAAACTGATGCGTATAAATTAGAGGTCCTGTCAAAACAAGAATTGGTCACTTTTTTATTGATTGTTTTTCAAGACTTTTTTTTCAAAACAGGTAAGTGGGTAAAAAAAAAAAGAATTAAAGAGTGCATTTATGTTAGAAATTATAATTACATCCCCCCCCCCCCCCAATGAATAAGCAATAATTCCAACAATTTCCCAAAATAATTTATATTCATTCTTAAATATGAAATATCATTATTTGTTTATATTGCAAATTATATGAACAGTATAGTCAAGTAGTTGAAAAAAGTACTTAGGGTTTCTACACAGAATTCGAATTTTGTAAGTGTTGGAAAATTGCACATAATGCAGTTGTATTTTGGTAGATAAAGCTTCACATGCAACAGTGTGTTGGACGTGCATTTAAAATGAAGAATTGGATATTATATATCAAATGGCGATATTTCTAATTTTATCAGATTTGAATTTAATTTTTTTTCTTTAGAAGAAGTCTCATTTTTCAAGTTAACATGGAAGTTAAAAATAATCCCAAATTTTTTTTTTGTTTTTTTTTTTGTTCATTTTCTTGAAAATTTGGGTTGGTTGGTCTTGGAAAACAACTAGAAAAAAGTGGTCAAAACTAACTAATTCAATCTAAAATGCTGGAAAATGCACCATTTGGAGCCATTATTAAAGAAAATTTCTAATCACCTATGCCCCTCCCATGCCCTCCCCCTTCGGCCCTACGGGCCTCAACCCCCCCCCCCCCCATGGACTTCTGGATCCGCCACTGGACTTCCAGTTTCTTCTTTTATTAAAACTCAAGTTATGATGTACTTTGTACGACTAAACTCTCAGAATGTAAACCCCATGATTGAAGAATCATATAATATCAATATGTCTTTGCATGAAGAGGGATTTTACTCGTGGCATACCCTCGCACTGTCTATATTTAAGGAAAATAATTTAAATAGCAATGACTACAGGAAAAAAAATGAAAAATTTGACAACATTCGAAATTCGGTTAAAAAGAAGTTGAAGAAAAAAGTACTAGATAATTATATAGGCAAAACTATGGAAAAAATATCCAAATTCACAGAAAACTCCAAACTGTATTTGTACAGTAAAATAAAACACAAACTTAATATGGAAGAATATCTTATGCTTGAAAATAGTTTCAAGAATAGACAATTACTAACTAAGTTTCGAACAAGTGACCACTGCCTACTGATTGAAACTGGTAGACATAAGAAAATACCTCGACAACAAAGATTATGCACTTCATGTAATGCTATTGATGATGAATTTCATTTCTTTTTACAATGTAATTTGAATATACAAGCAAGGAATATACTTATAAAAACCATATTAGATAATTGTTCCTCATTCTATCTCAAATCACCCATACAGAAGCTTGAATATATACTTAGCCCAACAATTGAAGTTATACCGGCTGTTTTCACTTTTATAAAACAATCATTAGAATTAAGAAATAAAAAGTCCACATCGGTGTAACATATAAGGAGTAAATTACTTAAATTGCGCCTATTGTATAAATACATTCATTGTTCTTCGTTTTTTTCTTATTATGAATTGTATTGCTTGACCCATATGGGTGTATTATGCAATAAAGAATTAATTAATAGTATCGGGGGCGGGGGGGGGGGGCAGGGGGGTCTGGCCCCCTTTCACTGTTGAGAATGTCCAATGAAAGGGTTGTTCTCCCCCTTTATTTGTTGCAGTAGACCTACGCGCATAGTCAATATTCTTCGTAATGTGGTAATGTATGAATAAAATTTGGTTGTGAAATAAGTCCCCCCCTCCCCCCCCCCCCCCCCCCCGAAACGAAAGGATTTTCGAGTTTGGACAATTTTTCTTTTCTTTTCTCTTCTATTCTTTTACCTTTTTTTGCTTGTCAATTTTTTTTTTTTTAATTCTTTTTATAGTTAAGTTTCTTTTTTTCCGGACTACCCCCCCCCCCCCTTCAAAAAGATTCTCTTCTATTCTTTTACCTTTTTTTGCTTGTCAATTTTTTTTTTAAATTTTTTTTTATAATTAAGTTTCTTTTTTTTCCGGACTACCCCCCCCCCCCCTTCAAAAAGATACTAAGTGCTGTTAGGAAGGAAAGTAATTGAACTTTTACATACTGTATTAAGTATTTAGGTCCGAGGATAAATATTTCTTTCTAGCTGAAGTTCTATACTGTGTAAATAATTCAAAATGGTTAGACAGCGAAATCGGGAAGAATATTTCCTTACTTTTAGATTTTAAATTTACCGTGCTGTTAGCATTTCCAGTATACAGTGCGATTAAATTCTGAATTTTGCATTTTATCAGAATCTGTGATAACCTCATAAAGAAGATTCAATTGATGCATTTAAAAGGTTTTTTCAGCAAGTATTCATTAAATCGCAGTCTGAGTAAATAATGGAAATTATATCTTTAATTCTTAGTACATGTTACAACCATATCTTCGGTTCACTCTGTCACTCTTCTATACACTGAACTAAGACTGAATAGCACAGTTGAAAACTATTGACACCTAGTTTATATATATAAAATAAATCATCTCTTGATAAAAGTGGGAATTGAATCTGCCAGGATATTTTCAAACATTAAATCTGCCAGTATTTTCTCATTTGGTAAAGTATATCAATTCTTTACCTTTTCCTTTTCCCCATAGACAATGTCGAAAATCTTGAAGAAACTAAGTTATCTGGATTTTCCTGAGAACTCCCGGCAGGCCCTGCAGTATGTGGCTTCCTGTTACTCAGACGGTTCAACACATCATCATGGTTTGTCTATACCTGGTCTAGAGTCAGCCTCCGAGAACTGGGCCTATGAAGTCTGTCACGAATACATCTATTTCAATTCCTCTTCTCGACGAGGTACACAGGTAAACCAGATTTTTAAAATTTTACTGTTTTTTCATTTGCGAATGTAATTATAAATTTAAATCCTGTGACTTTGATCAAAATCATATTTTTAAAATCTTATCCAAAATATTTTAGATTTTCCTTGCAATCATTGAAAACATAATGATTTTTGTTAGTATGCCATAAGTTTTATTAGTGCAGTTTATTTGTGAAATTTTGCACATAAAAACAGTATGAATCAGTGTCTCTTGCTTATATTATAAAAATTCACAAATTATGAAGTAAAGGTATAAAAAACAAATGGTCGCATGGTTTTGATTAATCATGAATATAGAAACATGATCAATATTCTGTATACAATATATCACCAGCATTTGTGTGATATTCTGTTTACAAATCGCTTTCTTTTGTACTGTTCTTATTTATAAAGGAATTATTCCATTAAATTCCAGAAGGTATTTTCAAAGCTGCTGTCTGAAAAAAAATTATTTACCTACCTACCTACCCAACTTGAGATTTTAGGGTCGGGTTAGGGGAAACAAAGATATTTTTAATGATGGCCTAAGGTTCCTTTGGTTAACTTTTCAAAGACTTGACACTATTTGTAATGCAGTAATCTAGGCATTGGGGTGGTAATTCTCTTACAGTCTGATTTTCAGGTAATATTTCATTATTTTGCTGAAAAGGTATATTTTTATAATTGACAGTTATTCACTATCTGCATATTCCTATTAGCAGAACTTTTTTTATGTGACAGAAATTGAATGCTGTTCAGGAGCTGCAGCTTCTTGAAATGTTAAGCAGTTGTCTGAGTGAGGCCAATGAGGGGTCCAGATACAGTATATTTAATGCCATTTTTGGAGGTTCCCCTGAAGCATACAAAATTATTCTACTGACCAAACTGGTGTCCATGGCATTATCAGTCAGTGTTAGTTCAGTACTGGACTGTGCTGCATTATGGATGCAGGTAATAAGAGTTTTGTGGGTTTTTTTTTCCCAGGGTGAAATTTAATATTGCCTTTCTTGTTTGTAAAACCATATGGCAACCATATTTTACTTCAAGTCCAGCATTTATCAATTTGAAAGAATTAGATGATTTAATAAAGCAATCTGATTGTAAAAAACAATATTTATTTTAAGTATGTTAACTAGGACAATACTTAGTACAATGTACTATTATTCATGACCAAGATAGAGCCATGAAAAATTAATAGAATATCCTAGTAGCCATTTATTTTAATATTTAAGTATTTTAACTTGGACAATACTTAGTACAATGTACTATTGTTCATGACCAAGATACAGCCATGAAAAATTAATAGAATATCCTAGCCATGATTGCTCTCTGAATACCAAATTATGGGTCAAAAAGGTTAAATGAGGTCTCTCACTAATATAACCTAAAATTAAACAGAAGTGAAAGGTCCTGAAGCAAAATATGTTGTGCTAATTTGTATTGTCTGATGGTAAGCTTTTAACTTTTCCATATTCTTGAAGTTTACAAGACTGTGTCTTTTATTGTTAATTCTCCATTTAGGAGCATGGTTGTCACAGTAAGGCAGCTTGTGACCTCTCCCACAGTCTTGTGGAGGATTACTGTGTTCTTTTTCCTGAGGTCAGTCAGACATTTCAGAATCTCCCCAAAATCTCACCCCTCTTCACATGTAACTTCATCACAGCTGTTGCCACTATATACCCATTTGATGGGAATGGTAAGACAAAATTACAATTTATTAACTTAAAGTATTTAGCTAGTGTTCAATTGTATTGTACCAGTATGTTGAAATTATGAGTTATTATTATGAATGACCCATGATAATTATTGACCCATGAATTGAGTTGCAAAATACTGCCTTAACCTGACAGCTTTTGATAGAGATCTACATATTACGTTAATTCTTTTCTATGAAAGTAGACATTAACTAAAGATGAAGTTAAATCATGTATTCATTATTTGTTTGACTTAATATGCTCAATTATTAAAAGCCTAACCCCTATAAAAGTCTGTAATTAATATGTAATAAATGCTATATTTCACTTTGTTTCAGCCTTCCAGAAGCCTCCTCCACTGTCATTACTCCGATACATCACGGATTGGGTTTCCTCAGATCCCTGTTTGTGTTCAGAGTCCGTCCGTCTGTCACGTATACAGGCTAACTTCTCTTGCCCCTTCATGGGCCTCGTTCAGTGGTGCATTCTGGGACACTTATATACACAGTGTCAGGTGACCAATGAAACAGAAAAAACTGAGGTTCTTGGTCTTCTCTCTAAGCTCCATTTTGGAATTCTTCAGAGCTTGTTAGCTTATAAAAGCATGGAACTGAATCAGGCTCTCTTTTATATGCCCCATTTTGTGTCATTGTCTCAAGCCTTGATGCAGTTGAATAAAGGATGCAGGAGTGAAGAAACTTTGCATTTGTTGATAGAAAAGATTGGACAAGTGATTCAGGTTGCCATGGTGACAGGGAGTCTGAAAGAAGAGAAAGGTACATGTACTTTGATAATTTCTGATAAAGAATTAATTTCAATGAAGTTTTTGCAACAGTGACTACCAAACTTATTTAACCAATGATAATTTGCTTAAATATGAACAGACTTCTTCCACTTAATTAATGTGTCTCTTCTAAATAAACTTTTTTTGTAAAAAAAAAAAATTGTTTTATTTTTCAGGCTTCTTTGGTCTTAAACAAATTTGCAGCATACTCCCACAGAATAGGTATGATAAGTTAACAATAAATGTGAAATCACTAATTTTTGTAGGGGGTTAATTATCGTTGTTTTCGAGGTACGAGGAGACCCACAAATTCTTGTCCACCACGAAATGTAAAATTATATTAACATTACTACTCACCACTTTTCTAAACTCGAAAAAAAATCCCCTTGAACCAATATTTTTTCCTCAAACCTCAAAGATTTGACCCCACAAAAATATGTGATTTCACAGTAATTAGAACTAAGAAAAATGTGTAAATGTTCATCAAGTCTATACATATCATCTCTGGTAAATCTTTGTCTTGATAAGTTTTGGAAAAGCAATTGACATTAAAGAAAATTTTGACAAGTTTTTAAATTTAAATTTTTTCATTTCATCAATTTATGAAGATTGCTCATAATACCAATTTATGACGGTGTTATTAAGGCTGTACCATTTATGAGAAAAGAAATTGATATGTCTGACCTGTTTTCAGATTATTGGAAATCATTCAAAGGCATCATCTTCCCCAGAGCATGGAGACGTCTTAGTGAGGACAGACAACATGACATAGTGAGGACAGACAAAATGACATAGTGAGGACAGACAACATGACAGAGTGAGGACAGACAAAATGACATAGTGAGGACAGACAAAATGACAGAGTAAGGACAGACAACATAATATAGTTAGGACAAACAATAAACAACTTGTCATAGTGAAAATTATTAGTAACGTTCTTTTGTGAGGTCAGCAAGCAATATTGGTGCATAAATCCAGCTAAACTGAAAAAATGGAGTCATACAAACGTCCACTGCTGAGCAGGGAGAATTGTGTAAAAGCATGATGAAAGAATGAACATCTTGTATTTTGAATATTAATAAGTATTGTTATAGAACTTTGAATTGAAGATACATTACTGTATGTTGTTAGGATTTATTGTGTCATAAATTTTATATATTTAGATATTCATATTAAAAATACAATAGTCAATTATGTTGCTAACTTATTAAAATTTGCAAACGAGAAAAAAAAAACATCACTGATGATGAAAACTGCACAGCATAGTTGTTGATTTTACCTGATTTAAAGATTAATATTGTACACTTAACAAAATTGAGTTAAATGGTGATGAGTTGATGATGAAATACGGATTTTGGATTTTGAAACAACAAAGGATCTTGAATGAAAAAGTGTTATAAGGTGATGCATGGTTATACATTGTATTTAGCAAATCATTTTCCCATTAAAAGATAACGCCATGTACAACTTTACTATCCCCCCCTCCCCACTACACACTCATAAAGGATGAAAAATAGAATTAAGGTTACCGGAAGGGTGTATAGGCAAACAAAACTTATCAAAGGATTATAAAAATGCGTTTATTATCGATACCAAATAGAGCAATGAGAACTTGGGTCTGTATTTAAGACGGGGGTAATTGAATAAATAGTAATTTGTATATGTTACTGCAATATTGTACAATTATTGCTGTTTTTAGCTCATCTCAGCTGAAAGCTCAAGTGAGCTTTTCTGATCACTAGTTGTCCGTCGTCCGTCTGTAAACTTTTCACATTTTCAACTTCTTCTCAAGAACCATTGGGCCAATTTTCACCAAAGTTAGTACAAAGCATTCTTGGGTAAAGGGGAGTTTAAATTGTTAAAATGAAGGGCCGATGCTTAGAGAAAAAGCAGAGAAAATTCTGGATGCGCTGGCTGAAGTTATTCCCCCCCGATGGTATTAACAAACTGAAAGACTTTACCAGGATGAACTTGAATTAGGCGAAAATGTTTGACAATACCAAGCAGGACTTTTCTCTCCAGATGGGTTTTCACTACCCAATTAATGATTCTAATTAGGCGAAAATGTTTGACAATACCAAGCAAGACTTTTCTCTCCTAATGGTTTTAACAACCCAATAAATTCATATCTTTATTACACTATTTTAAATTACCTTCTTCTTTTCACCTTTTTTACTTCCTTTTTTTGAACACCATTTCTTAATAATATTGTTTATTCGGTAACATTTTTAAAATAATGTAACAAGTCGAGTGGACCCTTGTCACAAAATAAAAACTCCTTTGTCATGCAGGCATAACAAGTTTTTATTTAGGATGGCAACAATCAAGAACAATAACAACGAGATGCTAACCATTCAGACAATAGGTGACCCGAAAAGGGGGGGGGGGTGAACTTGTCTGGCGACTACATTACACAGTTAATTTATTTCAACAAGTATCTGCAAATCCTTGTTCTCGAACTCAAAGTAAAACAACTTTGTGTAAATACGTGTGTTACTTATTATTAAGGTATTTATTAAAATAATTTTACATGCGTCAATCCGGACAGTACCTAACTACATGGAAATCTAAACTATCTTTGTAATAAACTCTTAGATATTCCTAATATTAAACTTTAATGCCGCTTAACTTATGAAGAAATTATGCGTAAACTATTCAGAACATGTGCATACTCTCAAAATGAATTTATTTTCAGCTCAAGCTAATCCGAACAAATACTACCAAATCCGGACAAGCCATTCCGGACAAGAATAACCTAAGTGAACTTGACTACTGAACTACTCTGGACATCCAAACAAACAATCCGGACAACTATTAAAATATAAACGTGACATAAACTATCAAATAAACTTCTGAACTTGGAAACGACTGACTCATAGAAATGTTCCGGTCATAAGTCCTAATTAATAACTCGAACTGTAAACAAATTAACTACTGGTCTACATGACTGGAATAATTTCTCTACTCATAATACTGTCCTAGCTGTCCGGACGCGCAAGTCCTTATAGAATTAGCATCATCCACTACAAGATTTATCATCTTGAATACCTTGGACTATCTAGGTCTTCCGTTGAGACGGAAGACCTTAATAATAATTATAGGGAACTAGATACTCATTGCTCGCAATGAGAGGTCTTCCGTCCGATTCTGAAAAAAAAGAAAACTCGAGCTGAAAAAGTGATAAAAGAAATTCAGACACTCTGGAGATTTAACCCTGGTCGTCAGCCTGAAAATCCAACGTGATAACCATTAACCATTCCTTTTTTTGCATCACTTCCTGTCACAGCCGGAAGTTACGGCGATACAAGATTTTGTCACGATTCAAATAAACTGATGACTGACTATCAGTCCTGAAAGTTTTAGACTTCAGCCGTTTACTGTTGCCGAGCAATATACCGGAAGTCGACGTTTTATTTCCGGTGGAATCTAACATATTTCAAAACAGCGAAAGAGATGCAATAAAGTGATGCAAGTTTTAGTTTAAAGAAGAAAGAAGAGAAATAATATGAGCGCATCCTCTGATCTAAAAAATGAAACAGGTTTTGTAATCCTCAGAAATGGCTCTATCATTTAATAGTTACATATTTAAGATCAGAAGTTACGTCCTATATTAAATATCGAAAAAATAGCTTTTTAAAAATTGGCTGTTTTGTAGAAATTTTCAGGATATGGGGAAAATGACGCATTTCATGACGTCTTAATGCATAGGTTAGCCAGAAAATTACGTCATTTTCGATAGATACGCAGTCATCAAAGGTCTAAATGATATTTAATGCATTGTCAACTAAAACCAAGTAGTTTCAGTTTTTCTGAAATTCACAGGGCCAAAAAAGGCCCTAAGTGAACCTTGTTCTTTAATATTGAAACCACTACACTAGCACAATGTACCAGCCCTCATTGATGTTTACCTTGCACTCATTCCCTGAAGTAACGAGTGCCAGGCAGGTTATTTTTTTTCTTATAGTGCGGAATTATAGGATGAAAACTAGCCAGCTAAATTTTGTGCAAGTGCTAGTAGATTTACCTCGGATTTGTTACTTGAGTTTTAACAATAACTGATAGCAGAGAAAATAATTTGTTACTGATAAAAACTAAAAAAAACTATTGTGTTTACTTCCTTTATTCTTTATGCATTCAACTTTCTATTCTATGCAATTCCAAATACAGACATGTCCGTGTAATCTTTTTCTGTACTTCTACACTACTGCATCAGACCATTTGTGAAAGGCGGGTCACGATACCTTATTTCGCGCCAAACGTCACGAGTAAATCTTCACACCTTTTCTTTGAAATGCGTCTTCAATTGAATAAGTGTACGTGATAGCTTCATTGAAATTTTAAAAAATATGTTGCTATAGCCTGATTTTCGAGCCAAAGAATGTTTATTTATCACACTGTACATATAACATATCGTATACGGGCAAGTAACATAAAGGCAGTGCTAAGTTTTCTTACACATTTTATATTCCTCTTTACCCCCAAAGTGGACTATTCCAATTAGTAACACATTAATGAAAAGACTTGAATGTTTTGCAATAAACACGTCTCGCCATATAACGCTCAAGGAATCTGATACCTATTATGTTCGGTAACTTGCATCTATAAAGGAATATAACCCTACTTAAATCAAAGAAAAATATTGAAAAACGTAAAAGTTGAAAAAATTGACTTTTTAAATTCGCTTCCGGTAGCGACCGGAAGTACTCCCGACGCACGAAAAGGCAAACCCGCACATCTAAAAGTCATGTTCTATGCTCTCCAACAATTCTCCAGTTCATATCTTTAGCCTTTCTTTAGATCTCGGGCGGATAAAATTTCATTTCAAAATCAGAAAATGTCCATAATTTGGAACCGGAAACGAATTTTTCCAAAATTCTTTCAAATGTAACAATGGCATTTTATAGCACATTATCCCTGAAAGTTTGATTGAAAACCATTGAATAGTTCTCGAGATATTGCGTTCACAAGATTTGTGTAAAAATCTATTTTTAAAATGTATTCTGGTAGACAATTTTAAAAACAAATTATATATTAAACATTACAATAAGAGTCTCTATTACCCCTATTAAAATCAAAGAAAAATATTAAAAAACGTAAAAGTTGAAAAAATTGACTTTTAAAATTCGCTTCCGGTAGCGACCGGAAGTACTCCCGACGCACGAAAAGGCAAACCCGCACATCTAAAAGTCATGTTCTATGCTCTCCAACAAGTCTCCAGTTCATATCTTTAGCCGTTCTTTAGATCTCGAGCGGATAAAATTTCATTTCAAAATCAGAAAAATGTCCATTACTTGGAACCGGAAGCGAATTTCTCCAAAATTCTTTCAAATGTAACAATGGCATTTTATATTGCATTATCCCTGAAAGTTTAATGAAAAACCATTAAATAGTTCTCGAGATATTGCGTGTACAAAATTTGCGAGCAACGAGTAGGTCTTCCGTCCGATTTTTCGATAAGATGAGATACGATTTTGACTATGATCTTTGTTAAAAGATAATAATATATAGACTTCCCTAATTAGATTTCATTCTTTTGATTTATATAACATTATTAAAAAAAGCTATAGATGACATGCTTTTAGCCCCTCTCAGCCCCTAGTTTGAGGGGTCAGCTCCTTTTTCTTGATATGAATTGAAAGGTCTTGTGATTTTGAAAACGTTTTGTTCAAGAAATATTCAGAGGTTTCTTTTCGTTGTGGAGATATGCTGAATGGAAATATTTAGGGGCCACCCCTCCAAGTCCTTAATGGGGCCGTTTGACAAAAATTGAAAGGGTTCATATTGTTTAGAACATTATTCTGACCAACTTTTGTTCAGTATTGCTTTTCAAAATATTCCCCCTTTTCGAGATATAAAGCGTCAAAGATTTAGCATTCTGGCCCCTTGTGACCCCTTATTATGTAACATATGATCTGAATCTTATCATATATTGATGTAAATCGTTAAGATAAGCATCTTTGCTTCAGTAATGTATTACAAATTATTGATCAGTAAAGAGTTAAGGATGAAAGACTTTTGGCCCCTCTGAGCCCCTAATTTGAGGGGTCAGCCCCTTATTCTTGATATCAAATGAAAGGTCTTGTGATTTTGAAGACTTTTTGTTCAACAACTATTCAGAGATTTCTTTTCGTTGTGGAGATATGCTGAATGGAAATATT